AACACTTTTATTATACATTCTTTAAATTGCTTTTATTACAGATTAATTACGATTTATTAATATTCACTTAGCACCTCCGAAGGATTTAGATGTCTACTTAATAATGTAATGATGGATTTAGAATTACTTTTATCTCTGTCAGTCTGCTAATTCCCACTGAAGGTTACGTTTTGCTTAATACATATTATTATCATTTGTATACATTATTATGTCTACTCGTAAATTCACCCACATTCTGAACGATAATGACATACATAAACAATAAGATGACTAATTGTTACTTACTATAATCATTAACGTGATAAGAAAACGTATGGAAGGCGTGGTTTATTTCCAATCTTGTACATGGAATTCTAGGTATGAACGTGTATCAATGTTGTAAAAATGTTTTCCGACGATAAAAAAAAACATCGTACGATATGACGCAATCGAGTGACGTGGAGCGTTACGTGTCGACCGTGTGTGTGGCTGTATTTGATATTCGGCATTGAAGTCGGGTTTCGAAAAAAATTACTAAAGAAATGCATTCATGGCGACATAGATCCAGTATGATATTATCATTTAAAAACATTATAATTAAATTAACAATAAACTTAATGATATAACACTTTAGTGGGTATACACTATACCAACATTGAAATGATTTCGTAAACTTGTATCTTCAATAGTAAATAAATATACTAAATGACATTGCTAAGCTTGTTTTAAATTTCCTGTTTTTTTTAACTGTCAAGGAACTCTAGTTCCGAAATTGCTCATCATTCACAAACAGCTAGAAGGTCTTTTCCAGAATCCAATCAAGAACTTCAAGTTAGATTCATGGTTTTTGCTGGTTCCGTCGTTGTTGATACAGGAAATGAGTTATATAAAAAATATATTAAGGTCTACTCTAATATAACATTATAGTATGTACACTGAAATAAAATCATATCAGTTAATGTATTATTATTAAAATTAGATTATCGAATTATTTTAAGAATTCAAATTGAAAAGTTTAAATAAACACATGTACCGTAATGGCCCAACAAAGAACTCATTGAAATCTTAATCGATCAATCATTGATTCAATGATTCTAAATTTGTATTTTGTTGACCCGGTCAATTGTATCACAGTGGATGCTTCAATAGTATATCTTAATTTTTATTGGTTTTTTATCTTAAATGCGCCTTGAATCAGATTCATTCAAAGGCTTTATGAAATTTCTGCTCAAATAGCTCGTTACACATTGTAATTAAAAATATTAAACAAATTTTACCGATCTGGTAATATAACTTTCGTATTTTACAGAAATCTTATTGTTTTAACTTAATATAATTGAAAGAATTGAATGAAACGACGTAGGTCTATTTTGCTAACATTTCCTAGGTGCCTTGATAAGACCTTCATCAAATTGAACGGAAATAAATGGACATAAATTCTTGAAGCACGTGTTTGTGAATAAAAAATGACCTAATCACTACCACGGTCCACGAATTATAAGTTCGGACGCACATTGTGGTCCGACGGCATTTTGGCTGTCAATGCCTGTCTTTTGAGATAAGTAAACACGCTAACGTAAAGATTAGAAGACGACAAATGATCCATTTATTATCTTTTTCTAATATAAAATGTATGCGAACAGTGTTTTCCAGATGCGCGTCGGTAACTTTTTTGTTTGATTGACAGAGCCCCCCCCGCTCAATACTAACTGGGAGAAATTATGCAGCTTAACTGCAGCTTAATTAAGCGTTTGGGATGGTATGGATACGTGATGAGACGAAATGAAAATGAGGTTGGTAAGAGAATGTCAACTATGAATGTGGAAGGATATAGAGGAAGAGCTAGACCTAAGAAGAAATGGATGGACTGCGTGAAAGAAGATATGGGTAAGATGGAAGTGAGCGAAGAAATTGTATAGAAGAGTATGGAAGGGGAAAACATGTTGCGCCGACCCCAGGTGACTGAGAGAAGGGCAGGATAATGATAATGAATCACAAAAACAAAATAGCGCAACTGTGTAAAAAAAAATTTTTCGACAAAAAAGTCGAAAAATTAATAAAAATTCCAATTGCTTCTCAAAGCTTTCACAGCGAATGTTCCTCTTCGAAATACAAGTCTACTGCGGCCTAAACATCTGCATTCCATGAATATTCCTGGCCTAAGCTTTTGTTTTTAGATTTTGGGGACATGGGAGTTAAAAGTTTCCAAATCAGATGAATAAGCTTGGTGGTCAGTAGTAATTCGAAACCACAGTCGCGTGTTTGAATCATCAACTCGGCTGACGTGTGAACGATTTGATGTTACAACAATTATTTCCTGTCCTGCACTGTTCTATTTAATTTCATTTAAGTAAAAGACGCAAAATTGTGCAATACAGTTTCTTCTTTCGATATTTAGAATTTGATCTAACGTAATAATATCCTTGGCATTCCAAAAGAATTGATATAGCATCACCTTATCTGCACCTTATTTAATTTGCTTTAATTGGGGTCATGGCCCTAGTCTTTTGTAGCATTTTGTTTCTTGTTTTGACCTTAGAATATAGTGGTAAACTTAGATTCATTGTCCTAAAATAATGATTATCTATCAGATTAGTACCCTAAAAGAAACAAATCACCCTCGATATTATCTCGTCTACTTTTAAATTCTGCAACCCATTATTGGTACAATCTGCAACCCCCAGTCGTATAAAACAGCAAATTCCCTAGGTGTTATTTGCTTGGCGTCAAATCTAATCAGGTATTAATAATTTTTATTAAAAACTAATATGAGCTAATTAACTAAAGTACGATTTTCCGATGTCTCCAATATTGATAATAATTAGGTCCATACATATATTGGGATTGGAGGTCAAATTAGATCTATTTAGGATTATTAATTGAACATTTACAGTTTAGGAAAATTACAGATCGAAATGTGCTATAAAATTCAATTTCTTTTCAATCCACCCATGTACTACCACTTACTTCATAAGTAAGGTTAATCGAAAGATATTATTTCTTAAAACATGTTTGAATCATTATAATATGACTAAGGCAGTTGAAATTATAAGCATAAATGTGTGTTGGCCTGAAATAAAGCCGCACTCACTATTTTTACTATCGCGGTTCTGAATAAATGAGTACGATAAGATTGAGTGTAACGAATATCCAGTCGAATCTAGTTTCAGAATAAAGACTAGCTTATGAAATATAATATTATAATCAAATAATTCGAGCTTATTGATTTAATGACTAGCGTGCTTGATAGCCGATGTACATACTAACAAAAAAACTAATCAATCATAACTAACATCAATTAAGACGCTTTAAATTTCCGGCATATTACAAGGCTATTTTCAAGAAACAATGTGTTTTTTAGTGTTTTTCGTTGGAAAAGTTTGTGATCGAAGTTTTCGTGTACGCAGCGCGAGTGCCGCTTATCATCTTCAGTCACGAGGTTTAATTCTCAATTACATAATTATAATATACTAGAGGTCCCGCAGTAGTCGAAATTCGACTATAATTGGAATTGTAAGTTTGTACACTATTATGATTGTATTTTATACTTCTATAATCACAAATTTCGCCAAAGCTACACTATAAAAAAATATTAATAAAGACAAACAATATTTAATCTATTCTCAATTTGACAACAGACGTCAAGAACAAAAGTTTGACAATAAATAGTATGTATGCGTGTGTGCGTCAAATACATGGTATGTAGTGTGTGTAATGTTTTCATTATTGATTTAATGTATCTTTTATGCATTATTTTTAAAAAAATATTAGCACTGTGCACTTCTTCTCTATTTTCTCTATAAGTGTGCAAAATTTCATACACCTCCGTCCGCGAAATTTTCGTAAAAAGGGATACAAAGTTTTTGCTTCACGTATTAATATATAGATAATATAACAATATACATATATTGTTTATTGACTACTTCAAAATTCAAGGTACGGCTAATACAGGCAAACAAGCTCACAATACCGTACACAAACTTACATCTTTACTGGTGATAGGACCTCTTTTGATTATTGGTGGTAGGACCTCTTGTGAGTCCACACGGGTAGGCACCACTGCCCTGCCTATTTCAGTCGTGAAGCAGTAAAGTGTTTCGGTTTAAAGGGTGGGGCAGCCGTTGTAACTATACTGAGACCTTAGAACTCGTATCTCAAGGTGGGTGGCTCATTGTAGATGTCCATGAGCTCCGGTAACCACTTAACACGAGGTGAGCTGTGAGCTCGTTCACCCATCTAAGCAATAAATAAAAAATTGCAAACAAATAATATTCGTATTTTGTATCGTTGCACTAACCGCTTCCTTACTTCGATTGATAAAAACGTATATGCTTAAAAGAAGTGTCTGATTGTGACAGGACCCTAATAAGTTGTGAGATCATAAGTAAATAAGGCTGCCAAAAAAGTACTAAATAGCCCAGTATAAAAAACTGTTGTTGTATTTTTAAAGTAACATTGAAAATCAATTATAAACCACAAAACATAAATGACAACATAACTTCAAATGTTTACAATTAGTTTTATTGTAAGCATATGATTAGAAAGACCCCAAAAATTCAAACTTAAATCAAGGTTAAAATTAACGCACGGTTGATGTAAAGTTTCGTCATGAATTAGCCAAATTGAATTTACATATTGTAATTAACGTTGTATCCTTAAACGAAAAAAGAAAAGTGTTCACGAAATGCTTCGTGGTTGCAATGCATTTTTACGTTTTATTATTTAAAACAATACATAAATTTATTCCTAAGTTGTACAATTAACTCGAAAACGTCAGAGCTCTAAAATTCGCGTTTAAATAGAAATAAAAACGGTTCAGTTCTAAAGTATTAGTTTAATGACGTTAATTTGATTCTTCATAATGTGTGACCTCTAGACTTCGTCCACTTAGCAGATAGTGAGTCGAATGATTTCAAGCATATTTTTTTTCAATCACCAAAAGATTGTATGTACTCCGTGCTTACAAATCTGCTATTAGGTTTTATGTAGTCCAATACAATGTCGTATGCAAATCGCGTTGACTAATCCCCGATGCTCCTGAAATTATTATAAAACGGAAGGAAATGGTACTTACTGTCTTCGACGCACATCTGGTCATCAGGCAGGAGCTTTAGCCCATTGGGACAGGCGCAGGATACGCGAGGTGAGTTTGGACCGAACCTCGGGGCGGGCAGGCACAGGTGAGAGCAGTGACCGTTGACAGCAGCGCAGTGATTCACACCATCGGGTTGCCGGTACGGGTGATACACGTGAATCACCATCGGGTTTTGGAGCTGATGATGATAGCATATTGTATTAGATCACGGCTCAGACTAAAGCACGAATTTAATGCAGACCTTGAACGATATAATGCGATGAATCATTGAACTCTAAATTTTTTAATATTAGAATTACGTGAACAAAATAGTTTTTTTTTATTGGTTAGATGGGTGGACGAGCTCACAGCCCACCAAGTGTTAAGTGGTTACTGGACCCCATAGACATCTACGACGTAAATGCGCCACCCACCTTGAGATACAAGTTCTAAGGTCTCAAGTATAGTTTACGGCTGCCCCACCCTTCAAACCGAAACGCATTACTGCTTCACGGCAGAAATAGGCAGGGTGGTGGTACCTACCCGTGCGGACTCACAAGAGGTCCTACCACCAGTGTAAAAGTTGAGCTCTAAATTTTAAATATTAGAATGACGTGAATAAAATAGACTATACATTTTTTTTATTTATTGCTTAGATGGGTGGACGAGCTCACAGCCCACCTGGTATTAAGTGGTTACTGGAACCCATAGACATCTACAACGTAAATGCGCCACCCACCTTGAGATATAAGTTCTTAGATCTCAGTATAGTTACATGATTACAATGGACTTTGTTATTCTTAAAACAAATCTCTTCCAGACAACCCTGGTTGGGGAAAAACCGTGAGCTTAACGTCACATTCGCAACCAATAAAACTTATGTTGATTTCGTATTCAATGTGGCAATTGTGGACGAACATTTTCGCATGTAATTAAATATTTACTGTTCAACATTCACGTACGTGAAATCAATTCTGCAACTAAAGCAAATTTATAATTACTCACTAGAATAACACTGTATTACTGTAACATGAACAATCCTAAAAATTAATTGGTACATAAATACTGTACCAACATCTACCGAATAAACTCTCCAGAACTATTATGACTTAATAAAACAATGAAAAAAATATACCATTCAATAAATTTGGTACCTATACTAAAATTTCAGTAACAGGACATATTTCAACATATTTACATTTCAGACATATAAGTTTTTGACGAAGCGTTTGAGGTGATTTTATAATTTTAATGCGCCATTACAAACGTCATGCACAAAAGTCGATAAAAAATAAGCACCTCGAATTATTTCACGTTAACACTTCGACAATTGTTTTCATAATTCGATATTGTTAAAGTGTTATATCTCTGAGCAAATTTTTTTTATTGTTTTCACAACTTCGCACCTTTGACAATGCGCCATTGACGCATGTTTGAGTACCATATTATGAAGTACCTATTATTTAAAATTTATGTTCGTACACTTCTGTAATTTTCCCATTTTTTGTAGTGGTTAATGTATTCACGAATTGTTCGAATCTTCAGTAAGTAGCAGTCAAAGAAAATTTAACCAAAATTGGCTAAGGCTTGTTTCTCTCCATAATTTAATAGCTAAATTAAATTATGGAGAGAAACAAGCCTTAGCTCTATTTTTTAACGCATTGAATAAAAGACGGTTCAGTATGGCGAATAGAAACGTTGAGCACTGTTGTAGCTCAGAAGACTCAATTTCCTTCGAAACCCAAATAAAAAATAAGTGAATATAATGCTTGTATGATAAAAACATACATTTATTACCAAGAAGAACGTATTTTTTGTTAAAAATATGTTCATGAATACGTAAGAAAATATCATAATTTAACCTTGAGATTTTTTCAGATTTTCTTGTGTTTAATATTATTTTACATAATATCTTCATTGTTATCTAGCACAAAATCACGACCGACTCCCACAATGATCACCTTCATGAAGCAATGAAATTAACTCGCATTTTTTTAAATATTTGGTCTTTAATTGTTGATTCTGGCTAAGACACCTGAAACTGCACAGATCTTTAAATAACATTGCGTATTTCTAGGACGTAATAGTCATTTCGATTCTAAGAATATGATAGCCGATATTCCGACGGAATCGTATCTCAACTTCAAGATTCAAGATGAGTTTTATTTACGTTGTGAAACTCGAGTAGATAACGATGACACCCATCGTCGGTTGTTCTGTATTGTACTAGCGACTCGCCCTCACTTCGCTTCGGAAACTGTAATTTATTATTGATTTCTCCACCATTTAATGGATGTTATTATACATATAAACCTTCCTCTTCAGTCACTCTATCTATTAAAAAAAACCGCATCAAAATCCGTTGCGTAGTTTTAAAGATTTAATCATACATCGGGACAGATATAGGGACAGAGAAAGCGACTTTGTTTTATACTATGTAGTGATGTCCCGTTGGGTGCGCTCTGAAAATTTGTTCGAGGTTCGAGGTAATCCCTTCCGCATGGCCCATTGCCGGAGCAGAGTTCATCCATATTATCTGGATGAACCCACTGCTATGGTCACAGTTAGTTTTCAGATTTCTTTTAACGTGATGACGTGTTATAAATTGATGAACATCAGTTCCACGCACGAAAAAAGTGTCACGTTCCGCCTGAGCCTGAATTTGCAAGCGAGAGCGCGGAACTAGTGATAGAGAGGCACGATCGGCCCAAGCGTTGGCTTGTGACATATTTATCTCTCTTCTCAAGTGACGTCACACCTAGCAGTTCGAATAATTCTGCTACTGGAACGCCGCCACGCGAACTTCTTCGAGAACTTCTACAATAAGCTCCGTAAATCTCGAATCTGTTATCTAATTCATAAAGTATGCAATTTTTCATCAATGTTTCTTTATGACGTTATCACGTAAAACTATCGTCCGTAAGTTACTATACTTGAGACCTTAGAACTTGTATCTCAAGGTGGGTGGCGCATTTACGTTGTGGATGTCTATGGGCTCCAGTAACCACTTAACATCAGGTGGGCTGTGAGCTCGTCCACCAATCTAAGCAATAATAAAAAAAAAAAACCGACTTTACAGACAACCATTTTTTTTACCACGTCAATAGTACGTACGGGTTTAGATTGAATCTCCCTAGACGGTGTTTCCCGAGGGCCGAAATAATATAGAGATTTCATCACAACAGCGTTTAAATGATGTAGTAGATTTGTTTGTTCGCTCGAGAATCAAACTAAAACTAAAAGATAGACTATAATGAAATTACAAAAGTTGATAATTCGATCGATCACAATCAATTTAAAAGACAGACTGATTTTAATTATTAACGCGCTGTGGCGATAAAAGCCGCATTGATAAATAAAAAACAAAAAAAAAACACGCAATTATTAAAACCTTTGACACTATTACTTTATAATACTTTTATTTCTTTATTGACGAGTAGAATGTATCTTTTATGCTCTTTGTCTTCCTTTAACAGTTAAATGTTAGTTAGAATAACAGATAATTATGAATTAGTTAGAATAGTTAGAATATAAAATAATAAGAATAGTGAATATTTACTGGTGGTAGGACCTCTTGAGAGTCCGCACGGGTAGGTACCACCACCCTGCCTATTTCTGCCGTGAAGCAGTAATGCGTTTCGGTTTGAAGGGTGGGGCAGCCGTTGTAACTTTCCTGAGATCTTAGAACTTATATCTCAAGGTGGGTGGCGCATTTACATTATAGATGCCTATGGGTTCCAGTAACCACTTAACACTAGGTGGACTGTGAGCTCGTCCACACATCTAAGCAATAAATAAAAAAAGAAGAACAATTTTATTGTTTTTAAATACTCACCGTGTGTGTAGATGTGATTGCTTCCACGTCTTTACCGTTGAATTTATTCGCTCGGTACACGGCTGTCTTGTCCCAATCAGTCCAGTAGACCCAGTCTTCGAATGTGGTTATCGAGAACGGGTGTCTCAACACTTCGGTCGAATGGAGAATGAGCCGGCGCCCGGACCCGTCGTAGTTGCACGATGAGATTGTATTCATTTTCGCATCCACCTTTTGTATTTAGAGCGATTTCGTTAATTATTGACCGGTATTTAACGTTTTTAAAAGTTTATTTTGCCATGAGTGTTATGAATATCATAACAAGTAACTTATATATGAGTCGTCTATTAATTATCAAAGGTGGCAATCTGTGCATTTGGACAAAAAAAATTTATTGATATGTCAATACAGATTGATTTGAATATAATCGTCTCCTTCAAAGAATACGGTTCAAAACCTGCATTAAATAAAGGTTAATAGTTAACCTGTTATTTATCTAAGATGTCGTTCCGAAGAGTTTTGTGACTGCCGATGGAATACAAAGTCAATAATTCGTTTTTCTGATTTACCAATCATTGTCCAAAAGTCAGATTGCCGGCTTTGATAATAGTCGACTCATATTGTAGGCCATAAAAAAATAAAGTAAGTTTTTTTTTAAGGAAGGAAAGATTTCAGTTTCACCAGGAGAGGTGGGCGAGCAAATGCTCAGCCAAAAGGGTTGGGATTTGCTAATAGTTGCCCGAGCGCCTCCAAAGAAGACTTAACAACTCAAAAGTAGCTGCTTCGCGGATGAATCTACTACCGGATCGGAATCGCGACCCGCTGAGAAGATCAGGCTAGAAACTCAGCGGACTGATGTACGGATTTAGAAAGCTGGATGTTTTTATAGTAAACTAATTATAAAACAGTAACATAGTATTTTCTCTTAGATTTTTAAATGTATTGGATGCGCTTAAATTTTTTTGAAAAATGTCGATATAATCCTTGTGCGCTATAACTCGCGCACAACGTATGCTACGATCCTAGAGTGCAATGGTCAAAAAAATATTTCCCAAAGCACCCAGAAAAACACAGGATTACACATAAACGACTGGTGAATGCAAACAACATAAAGAAATAAATATAGAATGCTATTTTTCAGTAAATGTGTTTAGCATCTATGTAGTAAAATTCACCCAAGCCCACTGAGTTTCTCGCCGGATCTTCTCAGTGGGTCGCGTTTACGATCCGGTGCAGCGGTAGTAGATTCTGCGAAGCACTGCTCTTGCTAGGGTCAGTGTTAACACCACTCTGGTTTGAGCCCCGTGAGCTCACCTACTAGTTAAGGTTACGCAGAGATAGCCTCTCAAGGCTTAAAGCTTAGGGAGGAAAAAAAAAACTCACCCAGTAAACTCGTTGGCGTACAAGGTCCAGAGTCAGACCGTTGGGCCATTTTACGTCGTAAGACACAATGGTGCTCCGATGTGAACCGTCCATGCCAGCACGTTCGATCTTCGGCACTTGACCCCAGTCGGTCCAGAACATCCAACTACCAAAAATACACAATTTGAAAATGCTTTAATTTCGACATGTTTTTTCTTTGGATTTTTTTTTTGTTTTGAAACAAAAACGTCGATAAATTGTAAGACGTTAACACTCAACACTTAGGATTTTTTGTTTGTTATGTGTCTGAAGAACATTATAGATACAAAATAAATAAAACAACTAATCACAAGACCCTTATTTGTGGACTAAGCCAATTTATTTTTTTATTTGAATACCTTAGATTGCAAAAAATCTGTAACTACATTTCTAGGTCATACGTTCATTTTTTGTGTTAATTTTGATTAGTTATCGATGTTATCTTACATAATTTTTTTATGAAATCTTGCTCTGCGAAATTATCGAAAATTATCTACGAGTATAATCGCGCCGCACCCACGTCACAATCCACTATATTATAATATTTGTTATGTTGTCTACGAAATGTCTAATTAAAAATCTTCGTCTACTGCCGATAAGAAACAGATCTTATCGACCTTTCCGTCAAGCTTAGTAAAACCGCATTAGCAAGGATAATTATTGTGAATTAAATCTAAAAATAATGCTGCCATACCCTTCTAAAGGATTCAGTGCAATTGCACGTGGTTCTTCCAGGCGATCTCTGATCAGTATTTTTCTCATGTTCCCTTGTAAATCGGAGAGCTCGATGTGGTTGTGCCCGGTGTCGGTCCAATACAGATGATTATAGACCCAGTCGACTGCGAGGCCGTCGGATGTAATCAGCTGTTCACCGATGACGACTGTACGTTGAGTGCCTTCATCAATTGGTGCTCTATAAAGAAGAGAATGAAATGCTATAATGAAGTCATTTAAGCATAAAAGATATGACATACGATGTACTGCGTATCAAGCGATACGGCTACGTCGGTGTTCTAATCCCGCAGACAGGTGCCATTTAGGCCAAGTGCTATTTAGCCGAAGAAAAACATCGTAAAATAAAATACGCAAAAGTTTCGGAATCACTGGTGGGAAGGGCCCGCATATTGTGGACCTGCTCGGTTGGATACCACTGTCTCACCTATCTCTTCATCTCCGCCAAGTATAGTTCTGCGTTCCTGTTTAAAAATTGGGGCACCCATTATAAAATATAATTGAGACATCGACCTTATGATGGTGGGTTTAAGGCATAGATATGCGTTGTGATGTCAGTCAATAACCTGTATGTATCTAGATCGTAAAAGCTGTGGTAAACGCTTAACACCAGGCCGGCTGTGAGAACACCAGAAAGTCTTAGCTTATTTAATTAATAGAAATAACATCAAAATTTTGAAAGATGTACTAACTTGTAAATCTTCTCGTCATTGACATCGCTCCAAAAGATCATTCCGGTTCTGAAGACATAGTCGAGTGCCGTTGCTGATTTGGTGTCGTTCACAATCGCCACCATTTCATGATGGTCCAGGCTTATCTTACGAATGTCGTGTTTTCTTGCGAACAGTAATGATGGGTGCCCCTCCGTTGCTTTGCACCTGGTTCTGTCACGAGGGTCTCTGGCGTAGCCGGTATGACATTCGCATTTGAAGGTGCCTTTTTCGTTAATGCATATTTGTGAGCAAGATCCAGGGTCCGCGCATTCGTCTATATCTGGAATTAAAAAAAAAATCGAATTATTATTACTTTCATCCGATACTAATAAATTTAATTTTCATGGTGAAAATAGCTATGGGTTTTCTTGATCAAATTGACGAAATAGAAATAGAATTACCTCTCAGCGAAGCTCTCCATTGAGCCAATAACAGTTACAGAGAGACAAGTATCTAAGTGATTCAAAAGTTTCAGTTCTCGTTCGATATTCAGCAATAAAAAGATGATAGAGGGATGATTGAGGGGGAGTGATAGATATCTATAGCGAAAACGGTACTTTAAGTTGACCACAGAGAGTATGAAGTAAATGTAAATTTAACACAGTCATCAAGTAACCAAGTAACCAATTCAAGTAACCAGAAAGAAATAAAACTAATAATTAAATATGAACTATCCCAACTACTTTATAACTTCACAAAGACAGCCTCTACTAAATTTTTAGGTGTATGTAGTCTTCATTAACATTAAATTTTACGTTGTTTCCATACCTTCACAAGTCCTGTTGTCGATAAGCTTGTAGCCCTTTTCACAATCACAATAGTATCCAATTGGTGTATCCACACAACGTTGAGAGCATCCACCGTTGTTCTTCTCACATTCGTTCTCACCGCATCTGTCTCTTGGCTCGTCCTCAAAGTTGGGGCAGTCCACATGTTTATCACAAACTTTGGACAATGGGATGCACATACCGCCTCCGCAGTCAAATTCTGTTCTTTTGTCGCAAATAGTTTTTTGTCGGGCTAAAATATAGAATGATCAAGATTGTTATGTGTTTTTGTTGTTTTATCATTAATATTAATACCGAGAATTAATAAGAATAATATCTAATTAATAAGAAGCGAGTTCGTGAATGGTAGTGCAAGGTAGAGGGGGAAGAGGTCGAACGAAGAAGACATGGATGGAGTGTGTGAATGACGATATGAGAGAGAGAGAGGAGTGAGAGAGAGGAGTGAGTGTTGAGATGATGGATGAAGATATTGGAAGAGAAAAATTAGATGTGCCGACCCCACCTAGTGGGATAAGGTGGAGAAAAAGATGAAAAAGAGATCAATACTTAATACCACGAAACATCGGGTGTTTCTTTTTCGCTCTCATTTTTCTTGGGCTTTCTAATGAATATGAAAAGAGAGAGTGTTGCTATCTTCGTCTCGTATGTTCGTATGTTTTTTCGCTATCACGACTACGGGTCTTTGTTTTCTAAAATTATACTTACTGCAGTTGTACTCATCGCTGCCATCAGGGCAGTCCTTAAGCCCGTTACAATAGAGGGCTCCCGGAATACAGCTATGGTCCTTGCATTGGAATTGATCTAGTCTGCAAGTGACATTGCCCCGACATAGTTCAAGAGCTTCGTCACCACCATCGGGACAATCGTGGTCACCGTCACAGACCCAGGCCCGGTGCACACAGGTTATGCGATCGTTGCATTCGAACTCGGTAGAAATACACGGAGATCTGACTTTAGGTGTGGAGACGCATCCCTGAAAACGTTAATAGTACAAAATTGGTTCATTGTTGTTCTGATTTATGTTGTTAAAACAGTTGCATAACATATATTTTTTTTATTGCTTAGATTGGTGGACGAGCTCACAGCCCACCTGGTGTTAAGTGGTTACTGGAGCCCATAGACATCTACAACGTAAATGCGCCAACCACCTTGAGATATAAGTTCTAAGATCTCAGTATAGTTACAACAGCTGCCCTACCCTTTAGACCGAAACGCATTACTGCTTCACGGCAGAAATAGGCAGGGCGGTGGTACCTACCCGCGCGGACTCACGAGAGGTCCTACCACCAGTAATTACGCGATTAAATACGTATTTCTATTCTACAACATAAAAAACTTTGACTACATATAGGCAGTTATGTAAATGCCATCAAATATTTCACTTGGCAAGATAATAGAGTTATTCCTGTTGTTATAATTTAACACTGAACCATATAAGCCAAATTAATAGGTATCGATATACAATTTATTATTCGCTTGGATTACATCGCCGTCGTATAAATCTTAGCGGATAGTATCTCAGAGATAAGAATGAAGTAACTACTACGCAGTGAATTAAATTACACATACTAGAAATGTCCACAGTTTCACCCGAATTAAATTTATGATTCAAAAATAGTAAAATACATTACATTTTTTCGGGAGAGTTGTTTGTGTCACTCTCTGACCCGAAAAGTACCAATCGATTTAATTTTGTAGGTACCGTATGTAAAATCACGAATCAGCGAGCACAGTGTCGTATTTATTATGTATAGTAGATATAGCCTACGTTTCCAGGGTCATGTCATTACTATGATGAAAGAGTACCCCTTTATTTATCCAGACTACAACTAAATTGGTGCGAAATTTCATCCAAATCTATTTTACCATTTTTGTATTGTTGTGTAGCAAAATTACAAACTATAATAGATTATATATATTTTTATAGATTATAAATTATCACTGTATTCTCTACAATAATTTTTTAGTTGTTAATTTCAATACTATTATCAATTTATTATTGCGGCGTAATTTATAGATGAAGAATACTATTATAGATATTAACTTTTATATTTTAATCGACCGTCCACATCGCACCCTGTATTCTGCTAAAATGAGGGGCAATAAAGAAAGGACGCTCAAAAAAAAACTTTACGCCTCTAGAAACCACGATAAATTAAATTAGCAAAACAATAAAATACTTAAAAATGATCTAGAAGCAGGACATTTTAAAAACCTGCGTCTAGGCAGTAAAGGAAACGAACCTGGTGATAATATTTCATTATCAAAGCCGTCAGAATTCTTTATTTTCTCTGTTTCAGTATAGTGTTATCATGGAAAAGATCATAGTAGGTATATCGCGGTGTATTTTAATTTAAAAACGTTATTTATTATAGTTTTATAACATCCACCAAACTGGTCATACGGCATATTGCAAATCTGCACGGTTACATACCCTCAATGTGTCTATTTTAAAGGCGAAGTAATCACGTATTCCGGTTTAAAAGGTATAACAATCGTTGTAAGAATGCAACTGACTTTTAATCAAACTTCAAATCATATTATGTCTCAAGGTAAAAGTTCAGGTTGTCTTGTTGGGAATTCGGTCCTTATTTAACATAGGGCGTAAGCTGTATCAAAATAATGAAATACTCGGTCTGCAAAAAAATGGGAGGAACTGAAATAGAAAAAAAATTACCACTTCATCGCTTCCATCGGCACAGTCGACGTCACCATCACAGTGCCACCACGCTGATATACACTGACCATCTGTACATGAGAAGTGCGACTGCGGCTGGCAAGTTGGGGTTGGACATTTCACTTCGTCGCTGTCATCGCCGCAATCGTCGTCACCATCGCACACCCATCGCATTTGAATGCACTTCCCATTCCCACAGGTGAACTCATCGGAACGACAAGTCTCGTCTGCGTCAACATATTCGTGTTTATTTTTAAACTATAATGTTGTTTTAGAGATCGTGTCGATGTTTTGCTTTATACTGTGTACTCAAAGAACGCGGTTATGAGGGGAAGGTCAAAAACAGTTAGTGATAAAGTGACATATACTTATCCGTTAATATCCTAGTTACATACTTTACGCCATTTTGCATGTTGATACTCATTATCTGAACTGAACGAAATTACTAATTAGTGTAATCATTAAAAACGGACTACGAGATAAATATTGTTATTATTGGTGCAGTAAATTGTATATCTGAATTTAATTTTATGATTAAGGCATGACGAACTATTTGCTATTGAATTATTTTTTAATAAGCTCTCATAAAGGACATAAAAAGCTGGATAAAGTTATTTTGAATAAAATAAAAACTAATGCCAATATTCAAAACGTGAAGAGGCCAAAGCGATGGTACGCATAAGTAATCTTGGTAAGGCTTTCAGCGCATAAGAAAAGCTTACCGATGTTGGAGTACATACGCAACGTCATCGCTCATGCTTCAAAGCGAATCCGGTGCGGGTAGATAAGAATTTATAGACGGATGAGCCGGGCGCTGATAGAATACAGAGTTTGCTTCGGGGTTCGACCCTAATGATTGATTGATCCCTCCAATGCCAGGCCAATAGTGAAACGTTCTTGCTTTCTCACGCAAGAAATGTTTTCCAATCGCGTGAATACACAGACATAACATAACATAGACACGAATAATTAAACCAATGAAATTTTCAGATACGCATCTGGTTAATGATCTTTGTACTGGTCTTTGCACTAAGCAAGATAAAATGGTAGTATGTAGGTCGTTTCCAGGAATATTGAAATAATGAATTGCGCAGTTTGATAAAAAAACGTTCGATGAATTTTTTATGATTTGTCTTCCACATTGTGTTTTAAATTAACTTGTACAGTTGATATTGCCACCTTAGTGAAAGTTTATTGAATATGGTACCAACGAACAGTATGCGAGATGATACGTATGCAAGAAGCTACAACCAATATGTAAACTTTAGCCATAAATATCTTTAGCAGTAAATACTATAAAGCATAACAAGGTTTCATGCTAAATGTGGCCTAAAATGCAAAACTTCCTTAAGATGTGCGTGAAACGTGCGTGTGATAATCAATTACAAAATTCAAACACGTAAGGAACTCTAATGTCACATAAACGTTTACACAAACTGAAATATATTTGCGTAAGGACTAATTAAATTACTCGCATTGTTTTAATCTGGATGGTGTTACAAAAGTTATTCTTACAGTGAAAAGAATAGATATTAATTATAGTGACGTATCTACTCATGCGTTATCTGCATAATTGCATTAAGCATTAAATTAGTTTGTTAGTAGTTTTGACTCGTGTTCGGATTCTGAATTGTGGTAAATGTTAATTCAATTGCCGAATTCCCTTACTGCATGCTTTTTCATCTGATCCATCGGAGCAATCGGGATTGTCGTCGCACATCCAAGTGAGTGGGACACATTCACCAGGCTTTCCCCTGCACGTGAACTCCTCCGGGCCGCAAGCTTCCACTTCTGTCAACCCAATTCATGCACATGCTGAATATAACGTTAACGATGGTTATAAAACAGCATCGGACAAAGAACTTCCGTTGCTAGGAATATTTTTATCAAGTTTTATCTCATCCGGCGCAAAGTTGTATCTTTAATATTTAAGTTTTGGTTCATTTTTCGGTATTACACAAAAAGTATCACTTTGAATAGCACGTAACTATAAGGTTATTCTTTTAAAAATCATATATGTATTATAAAAAAAATCGATTTATGATTTTAGGTTTATAATGTATATGAAACGCAATCAATGTTCCTGAAATATTAAATAACCTATTATTATATATCCCACAATCCACGTGCGATATTTCCGGTCCATGCTAATGTTGAACTTCCCAATTGTTGAACAAACTCTTACCGCATTGGTGTTCATCTGAGCCATCGGGGCAATCAGCAGTGGCGTCGCAACGCCACGATCGAGGAATACATAGACCGTCACTTAGACACTCAAATCTGTATTCCTGGCACACCATTTTAGTCGCCGCTGTGTATTTAATTTTGAAATGTCTTATCATCTTTTTGTCCCATTTCATTTTAATAAACGATAAACGTTTTTAGCTATTTCCCAATGTTAAATTGCATGGGTAATTTGAAAATAATTTAAATTATATTAAATNACGCCACGAACGAGGAATACATAGACCGTCACTTAGACACTCAAATCTGTATTCCTGGCACACCATTTTAGTCGCCGCTGTGTATTTAATTTTGAAATGTCTTATCATCTTTTTGTCCCATTTCATTTTAATAAACGATAAACGTTTTTAGCTATTTCCCAATGTTAAATTGCATGGGTAATTTGAAAATAATTTAAATTATATTAAATACTACATATAATATAATGAATTAAATTCTAAGACAGGAACATCACAGGTATGAAACGGAAGATAATTACATTACATTCATATAATTAATCTTGACTTTACCATTAGCAAGCGAATTCTCTGAAGTTGACAAGCACGCTTAAAATTCTAGTCGGGTGCCCCGCAAAATAATAAATGCTAATGTTCAGCTCAGGCACGACTAAACCGTAATTAATGATTCTAAACAGTCTTTTATTACAGTATAATGTTGTTTAGCTGTGTACGTAACAAATTAAATAAACATGAACCGAGATTTACAACTGAAGTTTGCAAGTTTGTAGACTGTAGCTCTAAAATAATTTTCATTTTATAGTTAGGAACTATAATAATAATAATATGTATTCATTACGTTATTCTTAACATATATATATTATTATCGTTTTAATAAAAAATAACAGATTTGTTTTAGTTACGTTTTTGCGAGTCGCATACATAATTAAAACTACTTTTACAGGTTTATTATTGTCTGTAAGTATAACTCTATAACTGGGAACAAAATCACGCACGGTCATTTGGCCCAAAATTACGATTCCCTATGTTACGGGTACCAGAGGCTGACATACCTTCTTATATAGTATATACAATTAAATATAAACATATAGATAGATAATAAACACACAGACAAAGAGCAAACAAACATGCTCATCACACGAATGTTTGGCGATGTGGGAATTGAACCCACGACCCTCGTGGTACGGTCAGACATTATCATGTTACTAATTCCGATATTTCTAATTAATTTACCGTTTTTGTGGTCACCTATAATCGAGAAGTTTTAATTATGTAAACTCACTTGCTCAATAACTTTTACTAAAACACTTTTAATCAACTTCCTAATAAGCTGGGAGCTTGATAATTTGAGCATAGCACAGAATAGAACGAGATCAAGAAGAACAATATTGGAGCTCGTAAAAACGTGAGCTTTTTAAAATTACTTTATGAAGTTGGCAGCCTGTTTCTTATATAGGTTTAACGTTCGTGGTAGTAACAATACTAATATTTTACAAATTCAGTAATGGTGTTAGGAAACGAAGAATGAGGAGCCTTTAATTTCATCTCCTTGATACTTGCATAGGTAAAATTATACTCTGTGTACTTTTATAATTAGCGTATAAACGAATGACGGCCCGTCCAGAGCTAAGTGATTACTGACGTCCACAGATACAATAAGGTAAGGAAATTTAAATTATACTTATAACATGTCCCATCTTTCAAACTACAGCAGGGTGTTACTATTCGTGCGGGCTGAATACCTTCCACTTAATCCACAGTTTAAAAAAAATTTACTGTTTTAATTCCCAATTTTACTAGCGATTTTTGCGATCAGTGGATAAATATAGGTAGTGGAACAGAATATGTGGTAGTATTTTTTTTATATGAATGAAGGATTACTGATGGCCCGAAGGCCAGCTGTAGTAGTAGCTCGAATTATCAGCCCACATGGATAAATACGCCCACTCTTGTCTATTTCTGTCATGGGCTTTGATTCGTTCCAGCTTAAAGTCTTTGATAGGTCAACTGTTTACAAAAATAGTGAACATCTCGATGTGGGCAGCATTTTTGCTAAGACATCTTATGGGCTCTGGTCACCACTATGGCCCGTGAGTTAAAAAGCAATACTAAATGCTCGACCACTCATCTAAGCAATAAAAAAAAAATCTTTTGTCTGATGTAATAATTTTATCTCACCATCTTATCCATTCAAAGGTAGGGTACAACAAGTGCATAACATTAAATTAAGTTAAACAACAACTTTTACTGGTGGTAGGACCTCTTGTGAGTCCGCACGGGTAGGTACCACCGCCCCGCTTATTTCTGCCGTGAAGCAGTAATGCGTTTCGGTTTGAAGGGTGGGGCAGCCGTTGTAACTATACTGAGGCCTTCGAACTTATATCTCAAGGTGTGTGGCGCATTTACGTTGTAGATGTCTATGGGTTCCAGTAACCACTTAACACCAGGTGGGCTGTGAGCTCGTCCACATACCTAGGCAATAATAAAAAAAAAAACGTATTTTATTTTGTCGTGCGCCTTTTTTTTTATTGCATAGATGAGTGGACGAGCCCACATGGTGTTAAGTGGTGACCGGAGCCCATAGACATCTACAACATAAATGCCGCCACCCACTTTGAGATATAAGCGCCTACATCTCAAGCCTACGTAAACCGTAGTAGCCCAAGCTACGCGTCTCCAAAGAACAAAAATATATTCCGGTGAACATTTTTGATATTAAGACGGAAAGGTCAGAATTCTAAATTTCAAATTGAACAAGTTGAATTGAGTGGTAAAAGGTTGGCTTTAAATAAATTGAATAGCCGACCTGTCGAGTATTCAATCCTAATAGTAGGACTAGTTATGACTGACTAGTTATACTCTACAGTTTTATTTCTTTTCATTGATATAAAAAAAAAATCTCATAAAAACGCTGCTTAATGATTCGATTCTCAATTACATTTTATCGAAACGCCCAAGAAGGCGAATGTTTTTCGTTTGTGCCTTATTCTCGTTAATTGGCACTTTTTATTGCCAGTTTGATAGGTTTTACACTTGAAGTGTCGATTACATTATCTATACTAATATTATTAAGCTGAAGAGTTTGTTTGTTTGAACGCGCTAATCTCAGGAACTACTGGTCCGATTTGAAACATTTCAGTGTCAGATAATGTAACGATTCCAAGCAGACGAAGTCGCGGGCAAAAGTTAGTTTTTAATAACGGGAGTGCAAGAGTTTTTAAAATTTCAATTATTTATATGAAATTTTGATATAAGCAATAAAAAAATCATTAAAATTACTTGCGTAGCCAGGTTCTTATTTATTTGGGCTTATTACTATTATATTTTGCCATTTATTTACATCAAAACGTGGTAAACGTGTTGTTTAGTAGTTGAGATTGTTTGTTGTAAAATTTTTCAACTGGGGAACGGGTGTTATAAATATTCAGAATCAATTTTCCTCGTGCTTCCGATGATAATCCACTTACAAAATTTAATCGATTACTATAATATTTGTTGGTAGAAAATCCACACATTTTGGGTCGGAATCGTAAAAGGCAAGCTAATTTTACGGGTCACTTATGTTGAAAAGTGTATGCGATAAAATTCAGGATTTATGGTGAGACCCTTGTGTGGATCCATTGAATGCTAAAAATAATCCAAAATAGATTCCGCAAAAAAAAAAAAAACTTTATTAAAGCTTTCATTTTGTAGACGTTAAACGTAGTTAGTTACGAAGGGTTTAATAAACCTTTTAAGTTTACCCTCCTTCGCGCTTCGATGTCCTTAGAACTGAGGGTCGTGACCTCCAGGTATAATTTTATCACGAACCCATTATCTTCCACATAGTTCTGTTCTCTGCGGTATGGAGACACTCATAAATTCTTTTTTTTTTATCGCTTAGATGGGTGGACGAGCTCACGGCCCACCTGGTGTTAAGCGGTTACTGGAGCCCATAGACATCTACAATGTAAATGCGCCACCCACCTTGAGATATAAGTTGTAAGGTCTCAGTATAGTTACAACGGCTGCCCCGCCCTTCAAACCGAAACGCATTACTGCTTCACGGCAGAAATAGGCGGGGTGGTGGTACCTACCCGCGCGGACTCACAACAGGTCCTACCACCAGGAAAAAACATTAAAACAGTAAACAGTAAAAAACGCTTAACATGTGATCCCCAAAAGAAGAAAAATTTAGAACACAGGACTTGTTTATCATTATTATTTTTTTGGTCTTCGCATGAAAAAGTCGTTCAAGGTACTTCTGAGGCCTTGCGCGAAATCAAAGTCACTACTAATATAATAAATTCAATTGTCAATTCAAATTCCAACAATTTATTTATGTCAGGCTCGTTTATGGATAATAGTTCTGACGTCAACATTTCACAAATCACTTGCCTCCAATCACGACGCCACCTTTCTAATATTCGCATAAAAATTATATTTAGTGACTTGTTGGTTACAATTTCGAAGAAGACCGTACCTAATTTGTTTTGTGATTGAGAAAACATTTCAATTTACCAGTATTTAGTACCCCTACCCCCGAGAAGCAGCTCGTGAATTTGGTTCTTACTTTTGGAAAACATTAGTGTAACGAACCGGTTTGTTTGCTCTGTGTCTAGATTTTTTTAATATCTATACTTTTAACATAAATGTATAATATATTTGGCACATATAAGCATGTATAACAATATCTGTTTTACACAGGAAACCTTACGCTGGGTTCAGATTTGTCCCGGACTTTTTTATTTACTTTGTATGCTGACGAGCATTCGGCCCACCCATGAAAACGACGACTAGTCACGACTAGTTTTTACTGGTGGTAGGACCTCTTGTGAGTCCGCACGGGTAGGTACCACCACCCCGCCTATTTCTGCCGTGAAGCAGTAATGCGTTTCGGTTTGAAGGGTGGGGCAGCCGTTGTAACTATACTTGAGACCTTAGAACTTATATCTCAAGGTGGGTGGCGCATTTACGTTGTGTATGTCTATGGGCTCCAGTAACCACTTAACACCAGGTGGGCTGTGAGCTCGTCCACCCATCTAAGCAATAAAAAGTAAAATATTGCATTTTACTTTAACGTAATGGTCTCATTTTACGTAACGAAATTGGAACAGCTATGATCGGAGCACCAACAAATGTTCAGTTCATTTAGGGTGGAACGCAATTTATCAATTCGTTTGTTTCGAATGCGAATTATGACTCTCCGTGCAATTCACCGCACGAACCGCTCCGTTATTCCATATATGTACAATAAATGAATTACGCCCTTCGAAACACCCTGCGGAATGTTCAAATTCGTACGATGTGTCGGGTATTTAAATAACCGCGAACTTTGGGGGAAATTTATTATTTTCATGTCTTCCAACGTCGCCGTTTTCTACTTTACATTATGTGTTCATTTATCGAGAACATGTCGAATCAATGTGTAATTCAACAACTAATCTCAAATGAACGCTGTTTAAGTAGACATTTATTAACGTTAACGTAAATTACGAACTTTCATCGATTTGAGTATTGGTTTAAACTTTGAATAATTTATACTCAGACTTTGTTTTTTTTATTCCTTAGATGGATGGACGAGCTCACAGCCCACCTGGTGTTAAGTGATTACTGGAGCCCATAGACATCTACAACGTAAATGCGCCATCCACCTCGAGATATAAATTCTAAGGTCTCAGTATAGTTACAACGGCTACCCCACCCTTCGAACCGAAACGCATTACTGCTTCATGGCGGAAATAGGCGAGGTGGTGGTACCTACCCGTGCGGACTCCCAAGAGGTCCTACCACCAGTGAAAAAAGGCTTTGTTCGGATTAACAGAAGTATATTATACATAGCATTCTTCATTGGAAAGAATATTTTTAACGAATCATGACGTTTTTAAATGAGTACCTATACTTTAGGTATTTTCACAGATAACACCCATCTGGGTTATCTGTGGATTTTTTATTCATAAAAGAGCGCGATAAACAAACGATGTTGTTTCAAAACTTTCAAGCAAGGGCAATCAGGAAAAATAATATTATAATTCTCAGTGCCATACCATAATAAATGTACCTTATATTGTTAAAATATATCTTTTTTTGCACGCCCACCGGCTTGACTATTTCTGCTGCGAACCTGTGACCCGGTCAGAAGCAGGTACGATACTCCTATTAATATGCTTCACCTTGGTGTCTAAATAAATAGTGTGGACGGCGATATACAATAATTGCTAGGCTAAAGGCTTCAGCAGCCGCTTTAAGGTAATCAAAACGAAGAAATTTAAAATTTAACGCTTCAAAGGAAAAACGGAGGAAGCCAAACATTTATCCAAAAAGTTTGTTATAATTAAGATTTAAATCTCGCCCGGAAGATTCTGTAACGAAATGTATGTTCCGATTACTTGGAAACTTTTACTGTAAATTTTACTTTTTAACTTTTCGATTAAACGTAACTGCAAATACCAGTTTTAAGAAAAAAGATTAGTGAATTCGATAAACACTTATGTTTAGTAAATGAAACACTAGTCGAATCTTCTTAAAATAGAGAAACAACTTACGTACATAAGTAGATCTTTCGTTAACAACGAACACAACCCTTGGGGTGGGTTTACATTAGTATTGTCCGACTCTGCCGTGAAATCCGGCTTTGTCGTTTCGCGACCTTGTTTTTTTTTTTTTCATTTTGCAACGTATAAACACAATAGGAACAGGCTGCCAACTCGCTCTTGAGTAAATTTGCTAAGGTAACAATGTCCGTTTTTTTTTTTTTGTCTTTATAGTCGTCCCACGTTAATCTACTACTTCTACAATACTTGTATTGTTCATCCGAAAATTATCACGTGGACCTTCATGTAATAACAACTTATATAAATGTTGGTTTTTGTTTTAAAAAGATAAAAACTTATCTGTTCTTTCTTGAACTTTTTGTTCGTAATTTAAATTTAAATAGTGAACCATTATAAAATACCGAAAACAGTTTACTTCAAATTCACAAAGTTTAGACTAAAACTTTAAAATCAATACTAACATCACCTGAATCGGACATCTTTTTTGAGTTTATATTTTATTTATGAGAAACCACAAGAAAACTTACTGCAGACGGTAGGGTCCTCGTCAGAACTATCCGAACAATCTTTTTCGTTGTCACATTTCCACGATAATGGTATGCATCTTCCAGTTTTGCAACGGAACTCGGAGGACGTGCAAGTGCGGCTCTCTGAAAACAAAAAAAATTGAAACATGAACGATGTTATTTTCTTGTTATATCTCATATTTACGCTCTCCATAAATATTATTACGAGGAAAACATTGTTTTTCTTCTATTCAATAAAACATTTTTCAATTGTGTACTTGGACCAACAAATTCACGCCTCACCTGGTGTTAAGTGATTACCTGAGCCCATAGATATCACAGCGTGATCGTCACCGCCCATTTTGTGACACGAGATCAAGTATCAATTGCATGTACTATATAGCGTCTGTCCTACCCTTCAAACCCCGAACCAGGACTGTTTTTCCGCAGAAAAATTAGGTTGATGCTCACAGTACGTTGGTATAATACTAAAAAAATGTTGCTGCCTATTCTCCAGTGAATCACTTAGTCGCCTTTCACGACACCCAGGGTATGGGATGAGGTGTTACTATTTTTGGCCGACACGAGACAGCAAATGTATTACTACCGTTTGCGTTAATTTATATATCAATATGAACTCCCTTGCCATTGCTATAAAGCCCTTGTACTCTGCCCTTGTACTCTGTATCCTTATTGTCGTGTTTCTTCTAACAGCGGTGTACAAAATATATTAAATAAAATAAATAAATAAATATCCTTTAGCTTTAAAGAGCCACGAAGGGCTTTCAGGAACACGACCTTCAGCAATGAAGTATGCGACTAAGAAGAAGCTTTAACAGAATATTTTAAACACGGCGAATTTTCAATTAATACACGCTCAATGAAAAAATTACTGCCAGTAGAAAATGTTGTAGGTACTTTCGAATTATCATGGCGTTTTGAAAGAGAAGCCACATGGCACAATCAAGCGCATTAAGATCTGAACTATACGACTCTTCAGTTCAAATGAAGTCAATAAATGTATTGTTACAGCCACGCGTGCGTGGAACGAGAATTATGACCTGATGTTAAGTCTTGCTGAAAGGACCATTCTCGGCTCTATAATAGAACATGGTAATTCAATGTAACTCGCCCGATAATATAAAAACATTATTAGGGATTTATCAAGTGTATCCAGAATGAGAAGTAGAAATTTTTGCATTTTAAATACCGTCACCAAAAAATGAGACGTTGCGACAGCGAGGTCAATATTTCAAATAAAGTGCCTTAATTATTAAGCCATTCTAAAAAGAACTTAGAAAAAAATTGGAAATTAGATGCTCTTTGGCATTCGTATTCAATAAATTTAGTGGGGAATTCAGAAGAATTGTTAAGAGACTTAACTACCTTCTCAAGAATCGTATCTTGTTACACCTGGATCTGTGTCTTAATAGTTTTTCACAAAAATATGACTCCGTCATTCTTTCATTCGCTGAAACCGGATAATGATGTTGTATTCCATTCTCTAATTAAAAATCTTTAAATTCAATACGATTATTTTACTTTTTTTAAATGCTGTATGCTGTTATGAAAATTAAAATCACTAAAAGTCACTAAATTTTGTTTGTGAAACGGCTCTTGAAAATTGATCCCCCCCATTACGCATTGCCTAAGAAGCTATTTAACTTTTACGACCCAATTTCAAATGATCTTTTAAGTAATGATCAGTACAAGTTACAAATTCTGTTAATTATGTAATATTAAAATGTATAACACGAAACATATTGTTTTACTTTCGAACACAATTTCGGCGGTATCTTTGCTTCATTTTTTTTAATACGAATCGCCTTTTTAATACGTATATTTTTTTCTGTGAAAACAAAAGAAGTTTATACCTATCAATATTCCGGAACACTCGTCTAATACCAATCAGATGAAGAGAACTAATGAATGACAGATTCTAAATAAATTTGTATAGGTACTACATTTTTAAAATTGTAACTGTAATTATCAAACTTACCTTGATGTCAAACTTTTTTAAAAAGAAAATTAAAGAAGTAGGTACTTCTACTAAAACTACTATGAGTTAAATACTAGAAACTAAACAAATAGGAATAAAACAAGATCCATACAAGCATAAGGTTCTCAATTCTAAAACAAAGGATCGTATTCATCAATTTCTTGTTGCTTTTCGTTTTTCTCATTTCAGAATACGAATTTTTCATCATCGTAGCCAGAAGGGCAAGCTATAAACAGGATCAATCCATTTACGTCCGAAATAGCCGTTCAAGTTGCGCATAAAACAGGGTTGAAGAAAATTATCGGTGGGTAGCAGCAGCCAGCTTTATCTCGAGGTGATTCAAGCCGAGGCACGCGCAACCGAGCAATTTGCAAACAAAAAGCACCCCCGTTGAACAACAATACAACCCTAGCGACGAGTACGAAGACCTTTCAATGTAACTCGACCGTTAATATAACAAAAATATTAGAGATTGATGAAGNTGCGCATAAAACAGGGTTGAAGAAAATTATCGGTGGGTAGCAGCAGCCAGCTTTATCTCGAGGTGATTCAAGCCGAGGCACGCGCAACCGAGCAATTTGCAAACAAAAAGCACCCCCGTTGAACAACAATACAACCCTAGCGACGAGTACGAAGACCTTTCAATGTAACTCGACCGTTAATATAACAAAAATATTAGAGATTGATGAAGCGTTTCAAGAAATTGAAATAGAAAGTTTTATTTTCGTGTTTTGAATACGGTCACCAAAAATGGGACGGTGTGACAGCGAGCCTAATATTTAAATTAAAGTGCCGTTATGATCATGCTATTCTAAAAAGAACTTAATAGTCATGTGGAACAAAACCCTCTTTGGCGAATCTGAATCTATGAATTCGTTGTCGCCTTTATTCCATAAATTTGATGGTGAATTCATAAAAGTGCATCATTATGTGTCTTGAAATCGATCTACCTTTCACGATGAAGGAAACTATTTGATACCTCTTCGCTTTTCTCTTTTAAGTGATTTCAAAACAGCCTTTCTATTGGTTTTCGATATTTAACATTAATATTATAATGTTTAGCTTTGATCATTTTGTTAAAACGTTCCGAAATAATTAGGGTTTCCAGTTGTGGATTCCTTTTTTATCTTTGTATGCAAAAATAATAGGAATACTCGATAGATAAATTTAATCCCTCTTAATGGTGAGTACAGGTACAAGAATCACATAATTTAATTTATAATAGGCATCACAACAGCATGTCACAATTTTATACATATATCTAATATCGCCTCCATTCACAACCCTACATAACTCAAGCAGTATCTACGGAACAAAGAGATTACTCGCGATCGCAGTTAATTAATCCCTAGGATACGGTCCTATTAGTTGACGGTCAACTGCATTATGTGGAAGCGCTTGAATTTAGATTTCGTGTAGAGGTAACTTTGACTTATGACATTCAACTATGGAGTTGAGCTTATAATTTCAATATGAAAAATTATTTCAGTCTCTCCTTGTTTTAATACAAATTAAAACTGATGAACTCTACATAATAATATGTACGATGAGAAATGAAATAGGAAAATTTCCTTCCAAATGCGAAACAAGGCGAATCATCTAAATCAAACGATACACAAATCTATAAAGCTACAAACGACGACCGAACCCACATACAACAATAAAATTGCACTAAATCAAAGATCACTGGTTAATTCAATTTAGACTTTGTCATTGGGCAAGAGAAGTGATCCCCGTGGCGAGTCTATTGTCTAAGCTTATCTGCTTGTATTGCGTATATTGACGGCAGATTTAAAAAAAAAATATCGACGCTTGAAAGGCAAACGTGACTAAGAGACAATGCGTGAACTTTACAGAAGACTAATTTAAAATTGAAATTAATTTAAAATATACCTGAAAAAAATTCTATTTTAACGAATCTAGCTGTAGGATTGAAATGATTTTAATAGACCTAGAAATATATTTCTTTGCGCATCGAATATGGTTATTGCCTATCATTTATGTACAAAGCAGTTATTGTCGCTTAGTCACGTTTGCCTTTCAAGCGTCGATATATCAAGTAGAATTAAAAAAGATGCAAGAGAGTTAAACAACGAGTGCTAGAAACGAATTAAAGTAAATCGATGATTGGAGACGCTGTGCCAGACCGATAAGCTAGTCCGATGAATATGTCTTTTGTGGAATGAAATCGGTCTGACGTGAAATGGCGATAAAAATTGTCGTCCGCGAAATTGCTTCTGAGGCCCTTCGACTTTGGATTTCTATCGAAACTCGGAAGACTGAATGCCTTAAGTTTAGATAGGTACACCTCGTCCGAGTAATATCTATCTAGTTCTAGATAGAATGTATTATTAAAGTGTATATTGAATAATACGCTTTAAGAATCTCGAGGCATATTAAATTGACATGGTGATTTCCAACAATCTAAAGCATCAAAAAAATAATCTTATTTTACAAAAAGTAAAGACGTTTACAACCATTAATTGGATCAATAACATAAATTTTTGTGCTGTCGAATTCATTAAAAAACATACAAATACTTATTTATCTAGTAAAATTACTCGGTAGACCGACGGTCCTTATGTTGTTATTCGAAATTTTTATAAATACAAGCTTATCTTGAAAATTTCGTTGGTGACATTCAGACATTTGTCAAATATCTTGCGTTCTATGTTAGCTACCTGCCACATGTGGTTACTTTCTTGATCTGTGTATTTCAAACACTTATATTCGTAACATAAGTGTGTAATGAATATAAAACATCTTCATTCGATTTTATTTATGGTGATTTTTTTTTTATTGCTTATATGGGTGGACGAGCTCACAGCCCACCTAGTGTTAAGTGGTTACTGGAGCCCATGGACATCTACAAGGTAAATGTGCCACCTACTTTGGGATAAAATTCTAAGGTCTCAAGTATAGTTACAACGGCTGCCCCACCATTCAAACCGAAACGCATTACTGCTTCACGGCAGAAATAGGCAGGGCGGTGGAACCGGTACCCGCGCGGATTCACAAGAGGTCCTACCACCAGTGAATGGGCAATTTCCTTCTAGCTTGTTACTTCCGATCCAAATCGTGAATGCATTTAATATTGATTAAAGGGTATAGGTAATATATTTTCAACATCACAAGAGTGTTGTCTCGAACTTATTAATTCATAAATATATTAACCCATTCTCTTTTTCCTTGTAACATACGAGATCATTTCGAATAATAAAAACGAACGAACAGGGGTTTTGTGTTTCAAAGGGACTTTGCGGCGGTCGATACGGGTCGTATTCAAAACGGGCTAGTCTCAGTTTTATTTTTGATCCACTTTCAGTAAAAATACCCTTATTCTTCTTTTTGTTCTTATCAATTTTCAACTCTACAGACTTTTTGTTATTTAAAAAGTTTTGTTCTTGATTGAGTGTATAGTATCCGCCATTAAGTATTGAATAATTAGGTACAAATGTCAAACAGTTTACCAAAGCCTATTAATCAATATTTACTCCATAATATCAGTGCGTTTCCACAAAATATTCTAAGAGAACTGTTGAAAGCGCTAGATGCACAAGCATTAGGCCAAATTGGCCCCAAGATTGTAGTATCGTGAGAGCAGCAGGAAATTGTATTACCGAGTCTTACTTGCATGCGATGGCGACTAGTGCATCCATTACGGCCGTAAGTGTATGCTTTCGAGGACTTTTACAGATGTAACCAGAGACTCGTTCTAACTATATAATTTGGGCATTATGGCATAACCAAATTTAGGTGAGAATGTTAAAATTACCTCAAGCACCTTCAATGATATGATTATATTGCAAATTAATCACTTATTATCTTACAATTAATCATTAGGGTACTCGGTATTTAGTGATTAGTTAGGTTTTCGCGAGTCATATATATATAATACGTATATAAAACAACGGTCGTAGGACCGTCGAGGCGATTCGCCCGGTCCTTGTGGATTGGGTGAATCGCAACAGAGGACGCCTCACTTTTCGGCTCACGCAGGTGCTCACTGGGCATGGTTGCTTCGGTGAGTTCCTGCACCGGATCGGAGCCGAGCCGACGGCAGATAGCTACCATTATGGTTGCGACTGGGACACGGCGGAGCACACGCTCGTTGCCTGCCCCGCATGGGAGGGGTGGCGCCGTGTCCTCGTCGCAAAAATAGGAAATGACTTGTCGTTGCCGAGTGTTGTGGCATCGATGCTCGGCGACGACGAGTCGTGGAAGGCGATGCTCGACTTCTGCGAGTGCACCATCTCGCAGGAGGCGGCGGAGCGCGTGAGAGACGCACAAGCCCGCCGCCGTCGAGCGGGGGCCAGGGAGGCGGATCTCGCCCAAGGCCTGGCCCTCTAAGTGTTTCGGGTCCCCCTCATATGTCGATTTGGGGCCCGGTGAAGGGGGCCTAAGAAGACGACGTGCAAGCTGCTCTGCACGCGTTTTACGCAAGAGCATCCGGCTGATGGAAGGCCGGCTATCCTCGACCCACGCTGGTTCTGGTCCAGCGGGGTATTCCGTAGGATAGCTCACTCTAACCGGCGCCATCTAGGCGGGCTTCGGATAGCCTGCCGACCGAGAGGGCTGATGGTCGTGGCGCCGACGACCGCCGGTCCGGCGTCCCGAGGGGGAGGGTGATGGGAGAGATGTGCTCCGCACTAAACGCTTCACTTTCCCCCCTCTGCCTCTTCATGAGTCCTGTCTCATGCGAGGTTTGGACGTTGGTTGTTGAGCGACAGGAGGTTTTAGTCAGTTCGACTCTGACATGCCCCGCCCTCCATCCCCAGTGGAGGGCGGAAGACCGGCGATTTCCTCCTGACCAAAAAAAAAAAACCATTACAGCTGTAAGTCTATGCTTTCGAGGACTTTTACAGATGTAACCAGTGACTCGTTCTAACTATACTATAATTTGGGCATTATGACTGTATATGGCATAACCAAATTTAGGTGAGAATGTTAAAATTACCTCAACCAACTTCAATGATATAATTACGTTGCAAATTAATCATTTATTATCTTACAATTAATCATTAGGGTACTCGGTATTTAGTGATTAATTAGATTTTCGCGAGCCATATATAAACTGATGTAAATAACAACAATAAAAAACGCGGTGCCAATTGAGATCAGATCTTTAAGTCTGTTAAAATATTATGTTTATGGTTAAATCGAAAAAGGATATATTTTTTTATAAATGAGAAATAATATCGTAAAAGTAGTCATCGCTACACTTTATACTAGTTTAATATATTCGGTAAGATCTTACTGAGTAAAAATTGAAAAATCGCAGTCAAACTCTAAATAGGAAACGCACTTTGGTATTTACGTATTATTTGGTGAGTTATTAGTCTGATAAACAAAGAAATTAAGACGAGTTTGATAAATTCTTCCACGGTTATTAGCTACTTACAATATTTAAAGAGATACAACTCACGAAAATAATTCAGTTTTCAGGTCTTCGAAGTGCCAAAAACAACAATGGGTACAAATTTCATTGATATACATACAGGAATTAATTTTATAAATAAAGAAATACAATTTTAAATAAGACAATACATTTAATTACGTAATAAATGTTACTTTTAAATCGATCGTTAACTAGACAAAACGTTATTTCACAAGAACTGAACCAACTCACACACTAAGAAGTGCCTAACTAAAATCTAGTTTCGAGCTTCGATAACTATTGCCTTGGAGGCTTCGTTACAAAACTCAATTCGAGACGGGACTCAATTGACTACGTTCCGAAGTCACGACAATAGAAATAAAATTGGACTCACAATAAAATATTTGGATTGTCAATAAAATGTATTTGGTTTCAACTTTACCTGCACTTTTGTAGTCGTAAGCCTTGGTGTAGCTGTCGTAATCGTCATCGTAAAATGTCGCTTCCGTGATAACGATGAATGTAAAAATCAGGATACACACCCGTAGATACATTCTGTATCGAGTTTTCAGCCGTAAACAACCTTATTCGAAATGTTTGAAACGTTTCAACATCAGTCGTGACTGGCAAAAAAAAGACAAAAATTCATTGAACAAATTCCATTGTTAAATTTCCTAATGTGTTTTTACGATTCCTTGCGTTGGCGAGCATACGTTTACATAAAAGCAACACGATTTTCCTAATAACGTAATCAATCAGTAAATAAAATAAACAAAAAATATATATTTTAATTTCTAGAAAAAAACTACATATTATTTACTAAGCTAGTTTAGTGAGAGAACGCAGTAGTGTTTCAGTCGTCCGAAGTTAAATTATGAATCTACTGGGAATACTCTGCATTACACAGGTAGCCAGGATTATCCCTTGAACCCTTTGTCTCTCATAGATGTAATCCTAAACTTTTGCAGCTATAAATATTGTGAAAATTCGTGTTTATTTAGACGAGGAAGTTAAAACTATATATATATATTTTTTTTTTTATTGCGTCGATGGGTGAATGAGCTCACAGCCCACCTGGTGTTAAGTGGTTACTGGAGCCCATAGACATCTACAACGTAAATGCGCCGCCCACCTTGAGATATAAGATCTAAGGTCTCAGTATAGTCTCAACGGCTGCCAAACCCTTCAAACCGAAACGCATTACTGCTTCACGGCAGAAATAGGCAGGGCGGTGGTACCTACCCGCGCGGACTCACAAGAGGTCCTACCACCAGTAATTACGCAAATTATAATTTTGCGGGTTTCACTTTTATTACACGATGTGATTCCTTCACCGTGGAAGTCAATCGTGAACATTTGTTGAGTACGTATTTCATTAGAAAAATTGGTACCCGCCTGCGGGATTCGAACACCGGTGCATCGCCTCAACCCGAATGCACCGGTCGTCTTATCTTTTAGGCCACGACATCTTCTTTTTAATGTTTTGTAATGACGATTTTTTAATGTTTATAGTGAAATTAGATTGGATTTTAATTTAAACTAAACATTGCGCCGTGTCAACACACTTCTAACCCTGAATTTATTACTTACCTACAACTAATTGATTAATCAACAAATCAGTAATAGTTATTCACAATAACAACACATTTGGTTTATGATCCACTTAATACTAAATATTCACGAAATACACAAGAGCGTTTCCGACTTAAACTGATAACTAGCTGTCTTCGGAACACAACCACTCCTAACTAATTTTCCTTTATCTATCTGCTATAAATTTCTTCATTCACGTCATGATTGAACGAACCACGTGATACCCCTTAATTTATGATTTCAGGGCGAGGGCCTAAAATGGGTCAGTGATTATAGCAGGAGCATTTTATTAAACAGCGTCATGATTAATTGACTTGCATCGGCTAATTATTTTAATATTTTCAATCGGATTAGGCTTCCGTAAATATATCTCAGCAAATGGAATATAACAGCGCTTAGGGTTACTTCTTTTAATTCCCATTTTTGTGTTGTTAATTATTTTTTCCATAATAACTGAGATATAAATATAGCAATATGATGCAAGTTGACTTGTAAGAAAGAGCTTTGTAGAAAAAAGACAACGTTCTTTGATTGGGATAAGCATAATACACAATAAATAATACGTTCCGCATAAAAATATTTCATTATATCATCACTTTGCGTAAAACGATAGCCCATAGGAAATACATTAACTACAAAAATAGTGAATGCACCTTTTATGGATACGATAAAAGCTTTTGCTAGTATTCATTTCATTCAATCCTTACTTTACTAAACTCCGTGAATACCAAACATGAAAATTCGGTACAGTTAGTCGCGAATAAACTAAATTGTGATTTTTTGAATTCTACTTCGGTATATACGATCTGAATTTTATCTTATTATTGGGGTTCAGAAATATTAATAGGTACATATACGATTACTGCTATTCTATAACATAATCCTAAGTTAGTGCGCGTTATCGATTTCACTTTGCTTACTGTTATTAAGGTAATGAATAAGGTATTCGAGGGTAAGCTTTAGTAAAATTATCCCACATTTCTGTGCACGAATTTGTTCGTTAACGTTTTAAATCGATAGGCAGCTTGCAATAGCTTGGTTCTATCGATATACATTAAGGTTAGTTTAATTTAATTTAGTTTTTTAGCCACTCTAACCGGCGCCATCTAGGCGGGCTTCGGACAGTCTGCCGACCGAGAGGGCTGGTGGTCGTGGCGCCGACGACCGCCAGTCCGGCGTCCCGAGGGGGAGGGTGATGGGAGAGATGTGCTCCGCACTAAACGCTTCACTTTCCCCCCTTTGCCTTGTCATGAGTTCTGTCTCATGCGAGGTTTGGACGTTGGTTGTTGAGCGACAGGAGGTTTTAGTCAGTTCGACTCTGACATACCCCGCCCAGTATCCCCAGAAAAGGGCGGAAGTCCAGCGATTTCCTCCTGACCAAAAAAAAAAAAAAAAGCGTTATACAGGGTGTCCCTACGATTCTACTTTTTTAAACAGCAGGTAATGTTTTCAAAAACTAAGCAAATAGTCCTTTTTGTGTCTCGATAAGAGAATTCTTAGAATTTTTACAAATGTTGTCATAGTATTGGACCATTTTAGAATTGTGATAAGTTGCACTAACTTTTGTAATAACATGCTATAGTACATTTCATACATTTTTTTACACAGTAGCATGTCAAAGTTAATTAAAAGTTAAAATATTCGAAAATTTCAAGAAAAAGGTTGTTTATTTTATTTTTATATTAAAAACTACGAATGTTTTGGTCCTATTTGGAACTTCAATTAATAGTTATATTAGTTAGGTGGCTAATACAAAAAAATGTGGGGATATGCTCACATTTGTAATTACAGTATCTAATCATAGGGTGTAAGGTATCAAATTACAACATTTTTCAAAAAAGTTAAAGTAATTTTGAAAAAAAAAAAAAAAAAGATTTTTATTATCATTTTTCCATGGGTAGTTACTGACCCGACCATACACCGGCACCGGCTTATCGTTGAATTTTGGGACACCCTGTATATTGCCAGGATTGAGTTACACACTTTCGCGGACTTCACTGGCCCTGAAATATAAATTTTGAATATATATTTGTAATAACCAAGTGCCATGTATTACGACTATTCTGAACACGGGACGGAATTTCAATTATTTAGTAAGAACCATCAAAAAACGGAACCAATCACAAGTAATCATTCGAATCGATTCATTCAGAATGCCTGGGTGGTTCGGAAATTGAAACCAGGAATCATATTGTATTGCCAACACAAATCTTCTGGGATCTCTTGAACCGACACGCCATGCCCAATTTAATTTAGATTGCAACTCCGATAGGCGCATGTGAACACGGGACTTGTTTGTTTTCGAGCCACTCGTTAAATGTGGTGTTAGCAAGCATTTATGTGACAGTGTATTTAGTTTTAGGAAAATTATTTTGAGATACGTATCTCTTCCATGTTTATACTAGATCGTGTTTCTGATGAAAATCCTACCCATTTTTATTTTTATTTAATGGGCGTTTTGGGTTGCATTAGACCTGCTGTTTTGACGGGCAATGCTTGTTTAAATATTAAAAGGTACAACGCTGAAAAGTGACGTAACTACCAAACTATTCATTGTACACACTTATCATACGCATTTTCTCGCTTTCATTGAGTACTGTTATATTAGTAAGCTTAGCCACTACCATTTCGTTCAAACCAAACCAATCATGATGGCTTCGCTTGATTGTGCTACCTAAATTTTGGACTAGAACATTAAAACAAACTTAAATATTAAACAAACAAATAAATCTTTTTTTTTAATTGGTATTTACAGTAGTCAGAACTACGCGCCAAATACGAATCTTTATAAATCCCACGTAAATTCCGATATATTGGATCGAGTAAATTAATTACCCAGAGCTTCACCCGTCAGTTACGTCCCGTCTACATTCGACTCAGACACGCGACAATGGCCGTATAACCGAAATAATATTATATTCAATCAGAGATATTTTCTAAAAACACTTTTTAAGAAACAATGTAATCTTTTTTTAGTTTTTATTCCTCTCAATCCGTGCATTTAATCTTAAACTATTCGAATAAAATGTATTTGAATCGGCAAGTAAGGAATTAGTATTAGTTACTAGTGGTCACTGCTTATTTTTGCTGCGAAATAGTCATGCCTTCCAGTTTAAAGGGACAATACACCTGTTATCTAGGTATCCATATTAATAATTATAAATGCGAAATTGAGTTTGCTTTCACATTAACTGCTCTAGTGATAATCACAAAGTTTTTCCTACACTTTCATCCAGAAATTAGTAGTATTATTCCCGAAGGATTAATTTTTTCTTGATGCAAGTGTTACCGCATTTAAACGGCGGATGGCTGTGATCGAATTCGTGAGCACTATGGGCTCCTGTAGCCAATTGACAATCCTTAATCTGTTAGCTCACTTATCTTACAATTTCCATAAATAAATATAGTACTTATAATAATAATTCGATATTAAGCACTTATTATTCGCCTATTAGAAATTTATCGATTACATGAATTATAAAAATAGATTTTTTCTAATTCTAGATAAATTCTTCATCAGCAACTAAAAATTACAATATTATATATTCTTGATTTACTCAAATATTTGTTGGTCGATTAAAGGCTATATATGAGGCCGTCAGCGCAAAAGTGGCTTAAGCTTACCATAGTTAGTAGTATGGAGATAACAAGGCTTGGATTTACTTTTACACTGCTTCGCAGGCGAAAACAATACGCGCAAACATAATGTTTACAAAGCCATCTGTTATCTATGGGTGAAACTAGGGATAGGCCGGTTTTGCATCAAAATGTAATAAGTTTTAAATAATGTAATACATAAGCACGAATATGAAAAATTGTGGGTTAGGCCACTTTTATGTTGACGGCCTCATATGTAAAAGAAGTTATAGAGAAAATTTCAAACCTAGACAAATGTAATTCTATGCTTCTATTGAGTACATCTATCTTGAGAATAAACACACAACAAGGCTATTTACTAACTACAGTGGATCTCGCAAATGAAGGTTTTAACAAAACAAACATTACTGTAATGCGGTCTGTACTATATACT